CTCTCTAGTTTGGCGTCCGCTCCCTGGCTCGGCCTCAGGGCAGCGTGCGCAGGTCTTGGGCGCAGATCAGGCTTGCAACGCTGGGTGGTGTCAAGCTCAGGGGGGATGCACGGCTGGGCTAGCTAGCCTTCCCTGCCCAGGAATGTGCGAAGTCGCCTATCGTTGATCTATCGGCGACGTATCGCCGCTTCCAGCTCGATGCTTCTCCCCTCCCTTGAGCCGGTCCCCTGGTGGTTTTCGGGGCCAACTCGGGCCTCCAGCGGACGCTCGGGGCGATCCAGGCCCCCCCGGAACGCTTTCGGCAAGGCGCAGCTGCTGGAGAGCATCGCGAGTCTGGAGAACCGACGAGAGCCGACAAACACGTTCGAAGACCTCGGACCCCGAGCCCGAAACTTCCCTCCCCCCTGGGCCAGTCCTCCCCTCTCGTTGCCCTGATCCCCTCTCCTCCTTGTGCGCCGCCTCAGGGACCGCCTCCAGATCGACGTTTCCCTGGCCGGTGTGGAGCAGATCGCCTCTTTGTCACAGGGTGAAGTATTTGCCCCGCTTTCGCTTCCAGGCGAGACCAAGTCTTGCCATGCGTCTCCTCGCCAAGACGCCTGACCGTTGCGGGCCACCCCACGGGCAGTCTGGTATCGTCTGGTTGCCGTCTGGCAGCGAGGGTGGTCAAAAGCGATGTACAGTCAACCCGCATAGTAAGGATAAACGACTTTCCAAGGCTACCCTTGCATCCTTGCCCCTTCGGCCCATCCTCAGGGACTCGCTGGCCAACCTCGTTCGAGAAACGTCAATACACTGGGGGCGCGCATCAAGAAACTAAATGCTTTTCGTCAGGGTACCCCACCCGCATCTTGCGCCTGCGGGCTTCAGGGCTGGGTTTCTTGCGAGGGTTTCTTGCGGCCGCGCACGCACTGTATGGCACTCCAGGGCCCTCTTTCGGGGAACGAGCAATGACATAAACATAACATGAAAAACTCTGACGTCCGCGCGCATTTCTCGGATCGGCGCTGGAATCCCCTGGCGGCGCCTCTGGCGCCGCCGCTCGCGTGCTGCGCGCGCCAGGAGGAGGATGAGGATGAGGATGAGGATGAGGATGAGGATGAGGATGAGGATGATGATGAGGATGATGATGATGATGATGATGATGATGATGATGATGATGATGATGAGGAGGAGGAGGAGGAGGAGGAGGAGGAGGAGGAGGAGGAGGGGGGCGATGAGGAGGATTTTTGTGGCGGTGGTGGTAGTGGTGGTGGTGGTGGTAGTGGTGGTGGTGGTGGTATGTGATAATGATGCTGACGACGATGATGGTGGTGGTGGTGACGATGATGAGGAGGAGGAGGAGGACGAGGAGGAGGAGGAGGAGGAAAGAGCAGGAGGATGAGAATCAGGCGATGGACGAGGGGATGGACGAGCATGAACGGCGGTGTGAGCAGGAGCAAGATGGCGCTTGAGGAGGCTGCAGGAGGCTGGAGGGCATCTCTCCTCGAGAGCGCAGCGCGGGAGGCGCTCGCAGAGGCCAAGAAGGTGCTCAAGGAGACCACCTCCGGGGCTGGCGAGCAGAGCTATCTGCGCGGCTCCCGCGCCGTCCGCCGCCTCCGAGCCTGCTCCAGCCGGCCCGCCCCGCAGGGATGCCGATCGTGATGCTGATGACGATGATGAGGATGATGACGATGTTGACGACGGTGATGACGGTGATGATGATGATGATGATGATGATGATGATGATGATGATGATGATGATGATGATGATGATGATGCTGCTGCTGCTGATGCTGATGCTGATGCTGCTGATGATGATGATGATGATGATGGTGATGGTGATGGTGATGGTGGTGGTGATGGTGATGGTGATGGTGATGATGATTATCATGATGATGATGATGACGATGATGGTGATGACGACGACTATGGCGATGACGATACGGATGAGGAGGAGGATGATGAGGATGACGAGGATGATGTTGCTGCTGCTGCTGCTGATGCTGCTGCTGCTGATGATGGTGATGATGATGTTGGTGCTGGTGAGATGCTGCTGATGATGATGACTTTGTTGATGACGATGATGGTGATGATATGATGACGATGATAATATTAATGATGATGGTGGTAGTTGTGTTGGTGGTGATAAGTGCCAGGATGAAAATGATGGTGGGGAGGGAGGAAGAGGGACGGAGGAAGGAGGAGGCGGAGGAGAAGGACGAGGAGGACGAGGAAGAGGATCAAGATGTGGGTGGTGAGGATGAGGATGATGATGAGGATTAGGATTAGGATATGGATTCTGATGATGATGCTGATCATGCTGATTGTTGGTGACGATGATGACGATGATGGTGATGATGATGGTGAGGATGGTGAGGATGATGAGGAAGATGATGGGGATGATGCTGATGCTCATTATGATGATGATGATGAGCATGATGATGATCATGATGATGATCATCATCACGATAATCATTATGATGATGCTGCTACTGATGCTGATGATTGCCGACGACGATCATGATGATGCTGATGATGCTGATGATGATGATGATGACGATGCTAATGGTGGTGATGATGATATTGATGCTGATGATGAGGATGAGGATGGTCATGATGCTCATGGTGATGATGCTGATGATGCTGATGATGTTGATGATGATGCGTCTGCTGATGATGACGATGACGATGACGATGACGATGGCGATGATGATGATGATGATGATGATGATGATGATGATGATGATGATGATGATGATGCTGATGATGCTGATGATGATGATGCGGCTGCTGATGATGATGATGATGATGCTGATGCTGCTGCTGCTGATGATGATGATGATGATGCTGATGCTGATGCTGCTGATGATGATGAAGATGATGCTGCTGCTGATGATGATGCTGATGCTGATGACGATGCTGCTGCGACTGCTGCTGATGATGATGATGATGATGCTGATGATGATGATGATGGTGGTGGTGGTGCTGATGCTGATGTTGCTGCTGCTGCTGCTGATGATGATGATGATGATGATGATGATGATGATGATGATGCTGTCGACGATTCTGATGATGCTGATGATGATGCTGCTGCTGATGATGATGATGAGCATGGTTATCATTTCAATATTGATGGCTTGTGATGGTGGCGATGATCATGAGTGATGGTTTAGAGTGATACTGGTTTGCAGGTCGGGGGGCGAGGTCGAAGTAAAGCGGAGGCTCACCGCCGAGAAATCGGTTTCGGTTTCGTGCGGGTCGCTGTGCAGCGAGGCGCTTGCGAAGTTCAGGGTTTGGGGTTTAGGGTCCACTAGCCCAAACTTGAAGCCGGTTGGACGTGTCCCACCCACCCATGACCCAAGACATATTGATCTCAAAACGACGACGACGTTACCGATGACGAAGACGACGATATTGGCCGCGAAAAGTCTTTGGGGTTCAGGGTTTAGGGATAGGCGGACGTCGCGATCGCCGCCGCGGCACCAGCTGTCTGTGGTCTCCGTCTCCCCCGGGGGCGGCCGCCGCGGAGCGGTGGGCCGTCCCCGGGTTTGGGGGGGCGCCCCCGGCTCCTGATCGTCGGGAGCGGCAAAGAGGGGGGTGATGACTAGGGGGGGTGGATATCATGGCGGGGGCCATGATATCTCCCCAGATTTCATGGCGCCTCTTCTTGCTTCATTGCATTGCGTCCCTGGCCCCCCCCCCCTGGGCCGCGCACATGCCGCGGGCCATGATTTGCGCCCCCCCCCTCTTGGACATCCCCCTCTTGGCCGCTCCCGAGACCGCGCTGATCAGGCGGGCGCGCGTTCACAGCGCAGGATCACCCGCGGCAGGGGGGGGGTGGGGGAGAAGGGGGAGGGGGAGGGAAGGGAGGAGGAGGAGGAGGAGGAGGAGGAGAGGAGGAGGAGGAGGAGGAGGAGGAGGAGGAGGAGGAGGAGGAGGAGGAGGAGGAGGAGAGGAGGAGGAGGAGGAGGAGGAGGTTGAGGTGGAGGTGGAGGGGGAGTGGAGGTGAGTTGGAGGAGGAGGAGAGGAGGAGGAGGAGGAGGAGGAGGGAGGAGGAGGAGGAGAGCGAGGAGGAGAGTGAGGAGGAGGGCGAGGAGGAGAGGAGGAGGAGGAGGAGGAGGAGGAGGGGAGGAGGAGAGCGAGGAGGAGGAGGAGGAGGAGGAGGAGGAGGAGGGAGGAGGAGGAGGAGGAGGAGAGGAGGAGGGGAGGAGGGAGGAGGAGGAGGAGGAGGAGGAGGAGGAGGAGGAGGAGGAGGAGAGCGAGGAGGAGGGAGGAGGAGGTGGAGGAGGAAGAGGAGGAGCAGGAGGAGGAGCAGGAGGAGGGGGAGGGGGAGGGGGAGAAGGAGGAGGAGCAGGAACCCGTTGCTCCGCGGCCAGCCCGTTGCCTCCGGGTCGGGGGCCAGCGGGCGCCTTCCTGCAGCTCGGCTCCGGCATCGCGTCGGGCGTCGACCTCGCGCACTTCGAGGCTGGCCCTCCGGACCGCTGGGCGTCGCTCGTTCCGGGCTCGTGCTTTCCCCTGCCTGGCTGCCGCTTCCCTGCGTCCTCCGCCAGGCACCTCTTGGTCCCCTTTCAGTGTCATCCTCTTCTCCCCTGCCTTCTCTCTTCGCTCCTCTACTCTCGTCCGCCTTCTGCTCCTCGTCCCTGTTCTCGTTGTCGTCCTCCTGCTCTTGAATCTGCCCCTCCTCCTCCCCGCCGCTTGTTACTCCTGTCTCCTCCTCCTCCTCGGCCTCCTCCTCCTCCGCCTCCTTTCCGTTTCTGCCTTTTTTGCCATCCTCCATCCTTCTCCCCGCCCATCCCTCCTCGCGAGCTTCTGCTCGCTTCCTCCGCCTTCCACGCCCCCCCTCTCCCAGCTTGCGTTCCTTCCATTTCTTTATCCCACCTCTTCGCTCCTCTTCTTTCGCCCGCAGGCGGTGCGCTTCGTTCAGGGCTTGGCCCAGAAGCAGAATTCGAAGCCCCCCCCCCCCCGCCCGCCCGCCGACGCCGCCCGCCTCTGTCGCCGCCGCCGAGTCGGCAGGCCCTGTGGCCAGGCCGCCCAGGTGCGGCCAGAGCAGACGGGTCGGGTTGGGGAGGAGTAGGAGGAAGGGGATGAGGAAAAGGAGGAGGAGGAGGAACAGGAGGAGAAAAGGGAGGAGGAGGAGGAGAAAAGGGAGGAGGAGGAGGAGGAGGAGGAGGAGGAGGAGGAGGAGGAGGAGGAGGACCAGGGACCAGGGTGAAGGGGACGCGGTGTCCCGCGGGGGCCCTAGGAGCTCCGAGGGGGACCCTCCGTGGAACCCCGTCTGGGACAGAGGACAACCCGAGCCTCTGGAGGTCCCCCTTTGTAGTCACTGCCAGGGTGGAGGCCTACCCCAGCCTGGATGCCCCACACAGGGCGTGCTTGACCTCCTTGGGCGGCCCGCTGTGGCTGGGGTATTGGCCCTTGCTGATTCTCGCCAAGGTATTCTTTACCCTTGCGCGTAGGTTGGCCACTTCACTGCTCTGCCAGCTTCACTAAGCACTAAGTTTGACGTGGCGATGCTCCCACATATACTGCAGAAGTGCAGACTGTGCTCGGACCAGACCTGCAACGGGTGGGAAAAGGATGGACCTCCCCTCCGCACTCGCTGTACGACTCGCAAGCCGTGATCCGACTACTGACGCCGACACCTCCAGCCGCCTTTGGGGCGGGGGCGGGGGTGCACGGGGTGCGGGCCGCCTCCTCAACTCGGGCCTCTGGGACCAGGACCCGACAGGACCGACAGAGCCAGCTGCCACCCTGGACGGGGGTCCAGGCGTGCAGGCTGATCTCCAAGACGCGGGTACGCCTTGGCTTGGGAGCGGCCTCTGGGCCTCTGGGCCCGCGGGTGCGCCTCGGCGGCCTCTGGGCCTCCCAGGCATCCACAGACAGAGTGTCAACAAGGGCCCTGCGAGCCCTCTGGCGCACCCGTGCCGCAGTCGCGTCAACGACGTCCGTGCTGGGGGCCCTCCCGACCAAACGCCGAGACCAGGCCTCTGAGGCCGCAAGGCCCGACAGAGCGTCGGCACAGGAGTTGCCAGTGGCTCTGAAAAGGAGCTCTGGGGTTCCAAGGGAGCTCGGGTCCTCATCCATGCGGGACGGGACCCAGGCCACATGGACCTCCAGGGGGCCGGGGGGGGCCTCGCCTCCAGAGCCTCCAGAGGGGAGATATCCCCTCGAGATCAGAGCACTCCGAATTCTAGCCCACAGGTCCCCGTTGGAACCTCTGGTGCACAGAAATCTGCCCGCACTCCAGCCTAGGAACAAGCCACGATTATCCGTGTAGAAGGATACTTGTGCGGTCGAGCCCTCGAGCGCGAGGGCAAAGGCGGTGACCTCCGCCCTGGGCACGGTCTGGCGGGCAACGACTCCGCCGAGACCTCCGCCCGAAAACTGCCAGGCGCCAGAGCGGTGGTGGAGGGCGCAGAAGGCCGCATCGCAACGCCTCCTGCGCGCATCGTCGGTGTGCTCACCGCCGCTGCCGTCCCCGAAGAGGTGGAGAACCCCACCTTCGTCGCGGCATTCCCTCGACGTCGAGGCCGATCTCGACGCTCCAGCCGGCCTCGTCCTCGCTGAACGTCGGCGTGGTGCCCACCTCCTGGGGGAGCCCCCAGAGCCACAGCGAGGGCGGCATCTCATGGTGCACCGTCGCCTGCTCGCGCAGGTGCCCGGTCTTGACGTCGTCTTACGTCGGTTGTGTCCCTCTACAGGAGGAATGTTCAAGAGTAGCCAAAAACAGCTTGGGGACGATTTTCGATCATGTCTTGACTGTTCCTGAATATTGGGTTGGCAATTTCTAATTTTTCGCTCAAAATCCGCCTGCAGGGGGACGTGCGCGACCTAAACGCAGTCGCCATGCCGAGTGTTGGAGGGGCACGCCCAGATGGCGGTGGTAATCGTCCTCGCCCGCCGTGCCGCGCCCCTGGCATGTCCGACTCACCTGGTGCCCCGCCCCGGCCTGACGGGCCCGAGACCACTGGCCTCCCGCGATGACGATGATGCTGCTGATGCTGCTGCTGATGATGATACTGCTGATGATGCTGATGCTGATGCCGATGCTGCTGATGCTGATGCTGATGCTGATGATGATGCTGATGCTGCTGCTGATGCTGATGCTGTTGCCGCTGCTGCTGCTGCTGATGATGCTGATGATGCTGATGATGCTGATGATGATGATGCTGATGATGATGCTGATGATGATGATGATGCTGATGCTGATGATGGTGGTGGTGATGATGATGATGATGATGATGATGCTGCTGCTGATGATGATGATGACGATGATGATGCTGATGCTGATGATGATGATGATGATGAGTAGTGGCGATGAGAGGTGATGAGTGATGAGTGATGATAATGATGATGATGATGATGATGATGATGATGATGATGATGATGATGATGATGATGATGATGCTGATGCTGATGCTGATGCTGATGATGATGATGATGATGATGATGATGATGATGATGATGATGATGATGATGATGATGATGATGATGATGATGACGACGACGACGACGAGACGATGATGATGATGATGATGATGATGATGATGATGATGATGATGATGATGATGATGATGATGATGATGATGATGATGATGATGATGATGATGATGATGATGATGATGATGATGATGTTCTGGCTACTGAAGGAGTCCATCATGCCCTTGGCCATGCAGCGGCGCTGCTCGCGGAGAACCCCGCACGTGTCAGCGCCGTCGCAGAGGTCGGCCCCATGGTGATGCCTGCTGGCCTTGGACCACCGCCAGGGTGAGCTCCGCCTCCGCCGCCGACGTGTCTATGTTCGTGCCGACGCCCTCGGGAAGCTTCCAGCCGCTACCCCTGTCAGTGACCCAGTAGGTGGCGGTCTCGGGTCCCCAGCCCACGTCCAGGAGGAGGGCGATGATAGCCGCCGTGGGCCCACAAACAGACCTCCAGCGGGCACTGGGTGCCGCCTTCAGCAGCTTGGCCTTCAACGTCGGCCATGCCAAAGCAATGTTGCGATGGAACTGCGGGGCCCTCCGCCACACGTCGAGCCATTCCGCCAGGAGTTGACGCCTCAGCTCGATAGCGGGTCCTTGTCCCCGTGCAGGGCGCCGAGGAGGCTGGTGAGGCGCTTGCCAGGCCCGCGGCCATCAGCGGACGTGTCCGCCGACCTCCTCAGGCGCAGTACCGCGGACGTCGCCAGCCCAAGCGCCTGGTGCCCGTACGTGGCCTTGGGCTGGGCGGTGGTAGACCACAGCGCCTTCGTCAGCTTGCTGAGGCGGACCTGCTTCGGCATCCTGGCGATTTTCCTGGACATGGAATGCGCCGCCTTCTTCCTGGCCTCCGTCTTGCGCTGCGGCCTCCTCCTTCCAGCTGCCACGTCGACGCCGAGGTCGACAGCGGTGACGGCAGCCTGGCACGGGATGCCCCTGCGCTGCAGGTCTCTGCTGAGCTCTCGGCCCAATGCAGGATGATTGGACATGAGGACCGTCTTGCCCGACACTGTCAAGTTCTGTGAATCGAGGCCCTCCTTGAGCGCAACCGCCGCGCCGAAGATGGCGGACCGCACTCTGTCCTGCGTGCCCTCGGCCCTGGCAACAGTGTCGCCCACGAACGTCCACAGCTGTGCGTACTCCCAGGAGGAGGAGGAGGACGAGGAGGAGGAGGAAGAGGAGGAGGAGGAGGAGGAGAATAGGGAGGAGGAGGAGGAGGAGGAGGAGGAGGAGGAGGGCCAGTGTAAACCCAAGTGTCATTAACGATGTTGCAATACACCCTCCCTCCAAGCTCCCTCTTCATAGGCCCCTACAGCGGTTTATTTCCACTGAGGGAACTGCCTCGTTGAAAGACAGCCGTTTGAGGATCCTGAAGCATGCCAAAACATTGTTCTCGGGATTCCAGCGCCACGGATCAACTTGGCTGTTGAGTCTTAACGATCATGAACCGTGCCAGAACGCCATTCCTGGGACTTCACCACCGCGAATCAACACAAATGTTGCACCACCATACATGTTGAATCCTGTCAGAACGTAATTTCTGGCACGCTGATGGTGGAAACCCGTAGATACCTTACATTTGTTGTAACGAATGTGCGCGGCGCTAAGGCGATAACCACATTTTGAAAACGACCCGCCTTCAATCCGCGAAGCTCCTTCAATTTTTTAAACGAATTCCAGACGCTTCGCGTATCCCCACCAGATTGCCTTCTGACGCGCCCTCTGGACTTTTCCTTGCGGGCCGCCTAACCAAAAAAATATCCCCGCCAGTTTCGCCTAGTTCGCGTCCCGGACTTTGCTTTCCGCTCCCTGTCCGTTGCCTCGGAACCGTCGACCAAAAAAGTATCCCCACCAGCCCATCCAGAAACGATGTCCAGGCGAGTTGAGAGGTGATCAGGGAAGTGCGGGAGCAAAGAGGAGGACGGCCGAACCGTGTGAAGGAGAAAGGGGCGAAGGAGAAAATTGGATGGATGGATGAGGGAGTAGGGAGAAGGATAATTAATAGGATGATGATGATGAGGAGGAGGCGGAGGGGGAGGAGGAGGATGAGAAGGGATAGGAGGAGGAAGGATGAAGAGGAGGAGAGCAAGCAAAAGGGCCAGAGGTCTCTTGGATGCTTCTCGGAGCCTCTTGGGGTATCTCTTGGGCTTGGGGGTCTCTTGGCGGTCGTGGGGGGTTCTTCGGCGTCTTGGGTGCCTCGGGGGGGCCTCTTGGGGCCGCTTGGGATCCTTTTGGGGGCCTTCTGGGGGCCTCTTGGGGGCCTCTTGGGGCCATCTTGGGACCTCTTGGGGCCTCCTGGGCGCTTCTTGGGGCCATCTTGGAGGAGATCGATCAAACAAGCGGCGGGGAGCTTTAATTAGGGTCCCCCCCCAAGAGGCCCAAATGGGACCCAAACCGTAGTAGAACCAATGATTTTGGCTTCCTCGCCGAGGCCGTTTTGGACGCTCCGACACCTCGCGGAACCCCCTGTCCAGGTCCAGGGGAGGGGGTAGGGCAAGCTAGGTGCGCTCGCGTCATATCTGACATCCCCCCCTCCCCATCCCTTACCATGGCGTAGATCCCCTCTCTACTTGCACGGTCGGATGTCGAGCAGGGCAATGATCCCGAAAGGGTACGCGATGCATTGTAGAGCACGGCATGGCATGGCGTAGAAGAGCACCGCAAAGCGTAGTATCAACCTAGCATTGCTTTGCATGCCGTGGCATGGCACGGGAAATGACGCCAGCGCTGCAGCGGGAGCACGAGTCGAAACGAGCGGAAGCGCGGAAATGAGGCCAGCGCTGCAGCGGGAGCACGATTCGGAACGAGCGGAAGCACGGAAATGAGGCCAGCGCTACAGCGGGAGCACGATTCGGAACGAGCGGGGCCCGAAAATGAGGCTGGCGCCCCAGCGAGAGCAGCATTTTGAAACAAATGCAGGCGAAAACCCAATTCCGGGGAAACTTGTGTGTAAAAAAAAGTACGCGGGGGTGGGCCGAGCACTTTCAAACCGTCATCGGGGGAAGAGGGAGAGTA